GGTTAAACTTAAATTTGATTCTCACATGATTCCAATTCAATTATAGTATCATTACTCAAAGTCAACCATTTCGATGATTTGAGACTGATCATTCCCTTAAAATGAATCACATTTGTTTTATTGGAAGCAATCTAGACACTACAACTTTAACACAATAAAGTGACTAGCTTTATTATATAGTTGTGAATAATTTTTAGATTCAATTAAAATACATGTCTCCTTTGTATGACTCTTCATATAAATGTATTTTAATATCTCAACAGAATCATGATACCTTAATAACTAGATAATGAATGCTTACTTAAAACAAACTCTTTGTCTTATTATCAAAATATACTTTCATTACAAATAAATTTAATAAAATTAAGCATGAGAATATACTTACTTTCCAAGGCACCATATTCTCAAAATTCCTAACAATAGGTACCTAGCCTATGTAAAGATACATCAAGAATTAAGGGACTTTCTCGAACTCTGTCCCACAGTGAGTTAGACATTTAGGATCTTGCTACTCCTTCATTCGATTTATTTGGATAGTTGTCCTTTATGCCCAAGTCAACACACATATAATTCCCAATCTAGCATTAAACGAAGAAGCTTGTACATTTAGGTCCATAGGACCATTAGTGAGTTCCTCGGATGGGTTGTTGGCTTCCCCAAGGCCTGCTCTGCAATTGCCATTTCTACTACTGTAGATAGTAGAGGGTGAATCAACTTTTTGCAACCTAGATCTCTAAGTCATCTGATGGTCCATTTTAAAATTTTCTACCAACCCCTTTTCAATTCCTACTCCTGTTTTGATCTCCAATTATAAGTTGCTCGATCCGAGGTTTTGGTTGGAGCTCCACCACCTTGAATCGTTGCTCCATGAATCATCTGAATCCTCCATGATTTCCTTTCCTTGGCTTAAGTCGGGAATACCTTCATTTGTATTAGCTTTCATCACCTTTGATGATATGGCTCTGATGAATGTAGGTTTATCTTTCACTATCACTTTGGTGTAGTGAGGAATTCTCTTAAGGCTATCAACCTTAACGCAAACACAATCATAGTCAAGCCTATTCTTCAACTCAGTATATTTATTGATATAGATGAATTGACCCCAACTGTCTCTTAAGGCTTTGAACAGCTTGATATGCCATAAATGGACCAGCACTTCCTCAACACAAATCCACACCTATAGCTCTTTGACAAAGTTTTCATGGTTGAATAGGACAATGCCAATTATCCACATTAGAAACACCTCCTTGCAATTAAAGACGAACAGTTCCATTTCCTTTTTCTTTGAGAAAGTCAGGAAGATTTGGAGGCCTCCCGTAGGTCTCACCTTCATGATGATAACTTCATAGCCTAAACCATTCTTAACATGCTTGAAGAAAGACGCATCTCTCAAGGTTCCTATGGCACTTCTTTCTAACCATTCGGACTTGGAATGAAGAATATAAACTTTCACACCGTCCTCCTTGTCACCTGAGTTCTCAAAGTCCTTTTTCTTTTTTTCTCTAACACATTGGAATTCTTTGGATATTGATTAGGGCCTTATCTAAGACTTGGATTTAGAACTCAAGCCAAAGCTACTATTTATATGAGTAAATCTCAAAATTTTATGATTATTGGATTTTTTTTATGACCTTTCTCCAAGACTTGTCAAGGACTTTGAAATTGAGAGTTTTGTTGCATACAAATTGGTACATGAACAATTTCAACGAAGAAGGCTGAGAAACTTGATCAAAAAACCAACTGCCTCAAAATCTGTTACAGTTGGACCTGGTTTGAAAGAATATATAAATTTAGGTCCTGAATTGGTTATTACTAAATATGAAGCCCTAAATTAGAAATATATGTAAACTTTAGACCTAGAGGTGATTTTAGCGCTTAAAGAGAGTACTAATAATGCTCAACTGACCGTTATTACCATTATTTTTCCGCCAAAAAGGAGATAAAAAGAGCCCGACCATTCTCAAATGAAGAAGCTTTTTGGAGCCAGCAACAAATTCCTCTACCCAGCTCTCAAAATCCATTTCGAAAACCCTGAATTCCCTAATATTCTCATTCCCATTTCTTATATCCACAACTTCACCAAAACCCTACGTCCCAATTCAAAGTTGGATGTCGTTTTCGATGAGCTTGATGAGCTCCAATCTTCAAAATCCATGCCCCATGGTGCCCAATCATCGTCAGGAATCGACGTGCCGTTTGATCAGAGGAGACCCACGAATCGAAATGAATCAACGGTCCAGATTTCACATCCGTGGCAGGAGTGGGTGGATTTGATGGAATTCTTGTTGAAGAGAGGCTACTTCGATGGAGATGGAAACCCTTTCGAAAATGGTGAATTGGGTTCGAAAGAAGCGAATAGTATCCGCACTGCGTGCCTTAATTTTGCTAGGGATCGCTTTAGTCTTATAAGGTAATGTAGGAGTTATTTCTTTTTTCCTTTTATTTTTAAAAATTTTTCTTTTTGGGATTGGTTGCATATAACCGGTTTGATAATTTGTCTCCTCTATATTTATTTTGGTCTTTGAGAATTGAATTTGAAATCGAGTTTACAAGCTTCAGAAAAGGGTTTGTACGCTTCATGTGTTCATGTAGCTTTATGATGGATGTGGAATCTATGGCATATCTTGGTTCAACCCTCTCTGTTGTTTAAGATTGTTTTTTGGCAGCTGCTTCTGTGTTTAGAACTTTCGTTTGTTCATTGCCTTTTGCTTCCAGGTATTTCTCAAGGAAAGATATTCTGGTCATTGCAGGATGTGGATGCCCAAGCCTCGATAGGAAAGTTGTCAACTCCGGGAAGCGCCTAAGAGCTTATGTGGGCATTAATGAAGGAAATGTATGTACTAGGCTTCTCTCTTTGATTGTTACTTATAGTTGATGTGGCCAATAAAAGAGATCTTTTCCCTTTTTTTTTCCTAATTATTATTATTCATCTCAATTTTTTCTGCAGGTTTGCAGCTCCTGCAATTTGAGAGGCAACTGTGACAGGGCGTATGTAAAGGCACGTGAAGATGAAGGTGGGAGGACTGTGGATGTGATGCGCATTTTGTTGACATATGGCCTTGACTCCATCACCGGTTCTGTGGAGAACAAGCCATGCCAAAATAAATTAGTTAAAGAATCAGTACGAAGACTTTTGAAAGAAATGGTGGATTATAGCACCCAGGATTTACAATCTGATATGCCAAATGCTGCACCATCAAGGGGGGATGTTTGGCTACAACATCATTCAAGTACACAAGGACACATAAAAGTTCCAATGAAGCAAGGCGATTGGCTTTGCCCCAGGTAATTTGATAGCCTATGTTATAGCAATTTTAGAAATTTGAATCTCAAAATGTATATATATTCTGACACCAATATGCCTTTGCTTTCCATTTGGTAGATGCAACTTCCTAAATTTTGCAAGAAATATAAAGTGCTTGCACTGTGATGGTTTGTATGAAGAACGACTGAGGCAGCTAAGAGAGGGTCAGGATAATTTACCATTGAAGAAGGGAGACTGGATATGTGACAGGTTCTAATTCTTTAGATTCTTTGAGTTTTTAATGGTGTAGCTCTGGTTGCCATTGAGACTTTCAATTCTTGCAGATGCAACTTCTTGAATTTTGCAAAGAATACAAGATGCCTGCAATGCAAAGAGAAGCCTCCAAAACGGCATCTCAACCCTGGGGAATGGGAATGTGAATCGTGAGTTTTCTTCCATGTTCAATTTCCCTTAAATTCTTGAAAGCTTAAATACAACAGCCTTGTTTAATATTGTGTTACAAAATTTAAATGCCTGGCACTGTACAGGTGCAACTATATTAACTTTAGAAGAAATATGGTGTGCTTGAAATGTGACCACAAACGGCCAAAGGTACCAATTGCTTCAAACAGATCCACTGAATTTGAACGTGACCATGGAGACTGTATCAACCATGATGGGTCAAGATTCCACAGTGGTGGATGTGAAGGCAACATTGGTAAATCTTCAGGACAATACAGAAAGCAAAGCAAAGGTGCAGATATCTGGAGGTTTGTACATGAAGAGAATGAAGATCAAGAATGCTTAGATTCAAGGACCGAGAATTCAAAGTTCATTGATTTTCCCATTACTGGGGGTAAGACTACTCTGTCACATAATACAGAAGTGAAAGAGAAGTGGAAGTTGGATACGTTAGAGAGGAGCAGGAGTCCCACAAGTATGATAGAAAATGATGAATCTAAGTGCACTGACAGCCAGAGAAAGTTGGAATTGCTTGAATCTTCTGATGATGAAGAGATGGCTGGGTGGTTTATGCGTAAATAGAAAGGGCAGCTTAAAAGGGTTACTTACTTGAAGAGCAAAAAAAGAAAGGTTACTTTATACCTGAACGTAAAAATGGTTAGAACCGATCAAGATGAATGTTTTATTTTCCAAAAGCATATTGATGTTATTTATGTATTACAACGTCAACCATTTCTTAATGTTAAATTAATCATTCATTATTAAAATAAAAACCCATTTTTCCAACTATTTCGTGTTTCCTTTCCTCTCTTCTACCCTATTTCTTCTGCTCTGCTTATTGTGGGACTTTGCAATGTCTTTCTAGCATGTAAAACCCAGTTTTGAGGAAGATCAATTACTGTTAGAACACATTTTGTACATGACAGAACTAAGAAAATTTGCAGAATCCGTTCCAGGTAATTTGTATATGCTTCCCCGCTATTCACAGCAAAGATTATTGAACTTTCTTATTGTACACTGACTTGAAAATATAAGGGTCTGATCTTGCAGAATATTCTTACATCAGAAACTATAAACAAAGTACCATATGGTTTTATCTTCTCCCTACAGTCTATAGTAATTTGTCAAAGTTTTGCCATCCAGTTCCTTGGTGAAGAACCTTCTCATGTAGTCATTATATATGAATTGACGGTAGAGGCCTGGTTTCTCTGGTGAAGTAAGCTCAGGAAATGGTCCATATAAGGCATCCCTGGCACTAGCATTGAAGAAAACAGCAATCGATACACGAGGTTCATGGGAAGGATTGGCCAGCACTCTATGCTCCACACTCGTGTACTCATCATTTGACATAATCTGAAAAATGAAGCAAAGAGAACTTCACAAAATAGAATTCATAGCAAATAAAATATTAAAGTGGCATTTAGTAGTTTACAATGCAATATGATTGCAAGTAATGTGATTGTAAAAAAAATAATATTACAATATTTAGTATACAAGTAAAACAATAATTAAAAAGCAGAAAATATAACATTAGAGCATTTGTTTACAACTATTTTGTTAGAAATGTAATATTAATTTTTAAAATTATTTATATTTATTAAAATAAAAATTTAATATACTTATATTTTTTATTATCAATTTCTATATAATATCATCTCTTAAATATATTTTTAAAGTCATATATTTTATTTTCATTTCTTATTATAATCTTACATATTTTATTTTTATTTTTTTAATATAAATTTTTATATTATATATTTATTTTAATTTTTTACCTATATTATATAAATTTTAATTTTTTATATTTTATTTTATTTTAATTTATAATTATTAGATTATATATTTTATTTTAATTATAATATTATAAAATATTTTTAACAAAATAATAAAGTTAAAAATAAAACTATCTTGTAAAATACAATGTAATATGATTGTATTGATTTTAGACTGCAATCACATTACATCCATTGACTGTAATATGATTGTATTGCATTCTTACATTGCAATGGTCTATTGCAACACAAACACTATAATGAAATTTAATTGAATACATTACAAAAAATATGTTCTTACTTTTCTTATGACAAACGCTACCGAATTAATAGATCCAATAACTAGCAAGTAACAATGCTTTAGGCTCAAATATTGCTTTTTAGCATAAGGCAAATCCACCCACAAATTACAGCTTGAGTCAGATAAGAGACTAAATGGAACATTGTAAAAGATGGATTAGCAGCAGTTGAAGTTGAAAGTATACCTGACTGAAATAATTCAAATCATTTTCTCTAATGGACTTTATTATTAATTTCTTTTTCTAGTGTTGGGCAATTAGAGTTCAATTCCCTAAAACTACAAAGCAATTACCTGAAGAATATCAGCAATGTTTATAACAAGAGCACCAGGAACAGGCTTGACATCCACCCATTCCCCTTCATGCTTAATCTGCAGCCCACCAATGCGATCCTGCAGCAACAGTGTCAGGACACCCGGATCCGTATGAGATGAAATGCCAACCGTAAGATCAGGCTGGGGACAGCCAGGATAGTAGTGGCCCACCATAAGTCTTGCCTCTAAACAGGTAGTGTTTTTTAGCCTGTCCGTATCCAACCCCAGCCCTTCGGACAACAACCCCACCAACCGCTCCGCTAATGCTCTGGTCTGTTTGTTCCACTCAACGACCTCGTCCCTACAAACCTCAGGAATCTCCTGGAGCTCCGCTAGGGTAGGTCCTAGTTTTATCTGGAGAGTATCCCTGTCGTTCCACCCATAATTTTACAATTCAAAAACAATTTAATCTCATTTTTCCTCAAATTATCGCAAATTTTAACAATAAATAATATTGGAGAGGTGGGAAGATAACCCAATTCAACACGAATTATATAAATTTCAAAGTCGATATGAAAACAATAATGAAATTAAGCTGTCAGTAAAGATGATGTTATAATCATAATCTATGCTAAAGTAATATTCATATAATAATAATAATAATAAAGAGTTTTGATGAAACCTCCAGCTCGCGGCTTTAGAGTGAAACAAGTCAATGTTGGAAATGAAGGATACGCCGGTGCCCGTGTCCCTACGATAGAACCTTGCCTTGACGTCCGTCGGCTGCTCATGGAAAGCTCTGATGGAACCAATCGTATGGTCCAGAACTTGCACAGGAATTCCATGGTTTACAATCTGGAAGAACCCAAGGGTTCGAGATGCACTGGCAACTTGCTCCACGACCGTTGACCGGGGCCCCGAGAGGTCGATGGCTGGGATGACAACGGACTCGGGTTTGGTTTTAGGTTTGAGGTCGGATAGAGTTTCGGGTGGGTGGATGAAGAAGCGAGGGATGGAGGTGAGGCCTGAATCGACTAGCCCTTTAACCCCGATTTTTGATTCGTCGAATCGTTTTACTTCTTCGGTTCTGTCGTATTGGTTTTCGCCATTCATAGTTGCTGCCATTTTTGTGCTTCTGTTTGAACTATTAAATGTAATTAACAAGCTAAGGTATACGTTATGATTTAACATATAATCCTGGGATGAAAAGGTGTAGGAGATAAAAATTTTACAAATATATATAGAATTATGTTATTGGACATATAATAATAACAATTTTGACTTTTGAGCTGCATTCATTGGTAGTCAAAGATGGTTGTAAAATTTTGTGTTGGTTGTTATAACTTATATCAATATCCCATTGCGTGGCCAGAAAACAATTACATCATAGGCATATGCTTATTCACATTACACAAAAAGCTATTGTGTCAAGGAGTCGAGACATGTGCTGACGTCGAAAAAAAAATTGATTGAGAAAAAATTATATAAACACATTATTTTTAATTTTTTATACATTTTATTATTAAAGGAGATTTTGCATTGTGTCCAAAAGTTTTAAATATTTATAAAAGTTGAACATATTGTTCCATTACTAAAATTAAATAATTATTATAACAAGATATTATTTCATGCAATCATGTCTAGAATATATATTTGTCCATGAATTTTTTAAATTAATTAGCTAGGTTGTGCCTCGTTTGATTAATATTTTTGCTATTCACTTATTACTTCTGAAAGCAAAATGTAAAAGATATCTTTAAATGTAATTGTTGGCCAATTTTTTTTGTGAATAAATTATAATTAAAAAAATACTTTTTACAAATAATAAGATACCTAATATTTTTTTTAGATAAAATACTCTTATCTTTTAAATTTTAATTAAAATTTTAAATCAGTCCATTAATTTTTAAAACAAACATTCCATTTAAAAAAAATCTTTCGCTAAACATATAAGTTTAACGTTAATCAACAGTTAATGTTTTCATTAATTTGATGATATGATAATATTTAAAAATAATTTTACTTTTTATTAATTTTAAAAATTATTATTATATAATTTTTATTATTTTTTATTAATTTCATTGATCAATGCTCCTCCTGAGATTTGAAATTTTTTTTAAAAAATATATAATACTTTTTTGAATTAATTAAAAAATATTTTAGTTTTTTTGTTTTTTGTTAACTGTGTGTAACTTTTGAAATGAATTGTTTATTTTAAAAATTAATAAATTTTTATAAAATTATAATTAAAAATTAAAAAATAAGAATATTCTACCTTTTATTTTTATATACAACAGTTATATTTGAATATATGTTGCACTCCTCACTTTAATCAAATGTGGCAGTGTTCTTTCTCTTGACCCAGTTTGCCACCCTTGACAATAGACAATGGCCAGCAGTCCAGCACAATGGACCAGGGACCTTAGGGCCTTGTTAGAGGTGTGAAATGGGCCGTCACATTGTAGCCACCGCTCTAGTTGAGATGGCCTATGGCCCATGGCTAATTGGATTCTGCTTTACACTATGTTTTTAGGAATAGATAAGATTGAGATAAATATATTTATTAATTAATTTATAAAATATAAATAATGTAAATATTCAAATTTATTTTATTTAATAAATATTTATAGTTTTATTAACACATACGTGAACTTGTAATAATTATAATTAAGAGAAATTATTTAGATGTGATAATTTTTGTATATAACATGTTAATATGGTACGAATATAATATAACATTAAGTAAATTGAATTTAAGATCATCGCATTTTATACATTAATCATACTAGGATTTGAAAACTCAACTAATAAATAACTGATTATAGGTTCATGCCAACGTAGAAAAATATCACGATCATGTCGTGCTCAAAGGCTGAGGGGAGGAGGCCAGTGGGGGCCTTGCCCTTCCAACAATTTCAAAAATTTTATAATTTATTTTCACTTTTATAAAAATTTTAAAATTTTTCTAATATATTTTGATTTTTTTAGAGTTTTATAATTTTATCTTTACAATAATTTTTTAGTTAGTGAGATGTAGCACAACAATTAGATAACAACTAATTTTAATAAAATTAAAATAAAATCTATTACAATAGAATTATTCCCCAATTCTACTTTTTTAAAACCTCTCAACCATCCCCTCTTGTTCTTTTTACTTTATACCAAATATTATAGAAACAAAAATTTTTTTCTTTTATACTTTTTTTACTTGCCAAAATTATCTGTGCAAAAAATCTCTAGTCGATAACTCAATTTTTATGTCTTGATAATTAATAAATTTGGTTTATTTATTTTTTAAAAATATTTTTAATTTTTAATTTTTTATTTAATAATTTCTACTTGGAGATTTAGACTTATGATTTACCATCTTAATCACTTTTTGTTAAAAGTAACAAAACAAGGATTTGATTAAATACCTGATGTTAGTTATTATACGGGATTGTTTGATTTTTTTCTTACAAATTATTTATGTTTTGTTTATTCGCTTAGATTCTTGTGAACAATTAAGTTTTTTATTCAAAATTGCTTCTTCATTGAATTGTTTATTAATATTGTATTTAATTTTTGTAATTAATTTTAGAGAATTGCTTCCCATTGAATTATTTATTAATAGCCCTTAATATTTTTTAAAAGATTGCTTTTCATTGAAATTTTTGTTATTATATTTGTTAATTTTTTTTGTTATTAAGTTTATCTAGAAATTAGGACTATTGACATTATTAAAATATTTATAATTATAGTAATTAATTTTTTAAGTAAATTATTAAAATTGATGTTTTGAATGATTTTCAGAATTTATTTGTACAATTTTCATATGAATTATTTCCATCAAAATTGTTTCTATTGTCTTCGACTCTTCCGTTCCTCAAACATGAAATCATTAATGGGCCACTAAGCGTGCTGATCTTATAACTCTTTTACATGGGAAAATTTAACTTCAACTTTATGCGATTTTTGGTATTTTTTTAAACTTTAAATTTTTGAGCACGTAACACCATGTGATTAATTCCATATTGTCAGTAATCATATTGTCCCCAAAAATGGGATAGTTGGAATTTAAGTTTATGTTCTACTGTATTTGAATTTGGTTAAATTTTATGTTATTCAAATGGAATCTAATTATCACAAAAAGTACATATCCATCTACGTATTTATCTCTCTTTTCTTTAGTTTTTTTTTTCAAGCCATGTAATAATTTCTTCCTCACTTACCATGCTCTTCCCATTAAAGTTTCCGAAGGAATTGGGCACAGGAATTAATAAGGTCACCGGCTACATCTCTTTTGGGTTTTGGGATACAGATGATGTGTGTACTAATTACTAAATGCCATCTTTATTGATGCATGATCGAAAGCTGGTATTTACTTTTATGAAGAAAGTATTGGCAAATATTTAACACCCACTACCCATTTATGCTCACATTAATAATGACTGTGGAGTAAATGTCGAACCCAATTTTTTCTTCTCATAGAAACATATATCAACCTTCTGCCATAAATATTAAAAAAGCTTATCTTTTTAATCAAGAATGTGTACGACTTTACTTCAACTGGTTAATAATTTTGTATAAAATAGGAAATTAATGTACTAAATGAAATGGTAATTAAACCCCGTAGCCACCTGGAGCAAAAAGTCAAACAATATTATATGCTTATTATTTCTCTTTCTTGCCCGGCTGCTCCCAAGTCCCCTGCATGTTTTTCCACCGACAACATTCCAAGAAGTTATTGTTTTCGGTTTTTTGTTTCTTTTTTTTTTCCCTTCAACATTTTAGCACTGATGTCACTTGGGTTTGTCTGAGACAGTTCGAATTAATGGACTGAAATTTAAGGAGATATACAAAATGTAGTGTTCTTAATTGTCTTCTACTAAAAGAATCTCTCTCTCTCTCTCTCATATATATATATACATATATACATACACACACATATATACTCCAACGATAGATTAATTAAGTACAGCAACGGGAATAGAAGAAAGAGATTGGTGACAAAAGTTTCACAGCAACATGATCCCAGTTGAGCAAACTTGCTGTTCTTGCAATTCATTTTCAAACCATCTTTTCCTATGATTTGGGACATGACAAAGCTGGTTACACTTGCATGTCTAATTTTAAGTGTTCAAGATGATATCTAAGACATCTAATTTTAAATGTTAATTTTTTTTTTGAAAAGTAATTTTGTTAATCTCATTAATCGGCATGTCATTACAAGTCTGCAGTCTATTCGACAAAGACTTCTTATAACATAAAACACTTGATTTGAGAAAATAGGAACCTTTACATTTACACGGGGCTGATCACTGTTCGAAAATATATCGATCATAACAATCAAAATCAACCAGAACTGCATTATGCTCTTAGCTCATCCTAGAAACTAAAAAGAACAAAAATGAGCCTTCCAAACAAAGCAAAACAACTCATTCAAAAGCAGAAGTATCCCGTTCACTATAGAATCTTAAATCCTATCTATGCTACAATTAACTAGTAATAGATGATGAAGAGGCTCTTATTACAATATTTAAGTGCTCAAGATATTTTCAATTTTGTTGATATACTTACTATTTATATTTTCAAATATTAGAAATATGAGATAAAAGTTTTCTGAAAATATTGAAGATGAGAAATGGAAAAAAAGTACACCCTAGATGTCTTTTTTATTCGTTTTCCTTACACTCATCCCCGATTGCTTCTTTTGCATCACGTTTAGTGGGGAAGGGGAAAAAATGAGGACAAAAGAAAGAAAGGAAGAAGTTGTTCTTTCCTCCTTATGCATGTTTGTTATAAATAAAGACAATGGAAGGAAAGAAAGAGTTATGGATGAAACCCTAAATAAAAAAGATAAAGTCTAGTTGAATGTGTGTTGCCTTTGAAATTTCACCCCAATTTCTTTTAAAGCATAGTAAAAAACAAAAGTAAATTAACAAATTTTCCTTTTGTTGTCCTGTTTCTTAGCTACCAAATAAGGGAAGATAATGTTTCTCTCTCTACCTATATATTCCTTCCTTTCCTTCCTTCCCTTATTTGTTATTCCTTTACTTCGTATATGCAAATGCTAGGCCAGTGATGAGTTCGAAAAGGCAGTTTTCTTGTGGGAACAAAACTCAGCCCAAGAAAACCTAAGGGTGAATCAGCCAAAAAAATTTGATAATTATTTTAAAGAATTTCAAGTTAAAAGATGGACTCAAAATAAATTTGGAAAGAGACAAAACTCATCAGTCCTGATCAATTCTTTCTTTTTATATTTGGAAGAAGGGATTTTAATCTTACTTTTTTTAAAAAAAATCATACACCAACCAATGAATCAAATACTTGAATGTACTTATCAATTTTTTTTATTTGTTGATTAGTACTGATAAAACCACACCTCTTCTTATTGATGCATCATTGTTTTACTAAATATCAATTAAGTGATTGAACAATATAGTACTTGTCACAAGTTGTCGTATCATCCTTTGGCAAAAAGGAGAACAAATGTACAAAAAAAATTTGATGACCTTTGAATAGTGCTCAACAAACAAAAGTGACCAAATTCTCCTGCAACAAAATTAATTGTATGCTATGAATTTATCCCTAGAGCTGAGCAAAGAAATTATTTACTCCAACTGTACCCAATAATTTGGGACACGTTTCCACAATAATTAATATAGCTCAAGGATCATTCTCCTCCCTCTCTTTCCCTCAAGCATGTAATATTTATTATTGTTCATATTTTCATCATTTATTATATCCCAGTAAGCTCCTATTACTTAATTTTCCGTTATAACTTTTACTATTGCAGCAATGTTTTGCACTTGGGGGAGTCGTTGTTTCTCTCAGAAATGAATGGTGTTTCCAACAGTTATATACTCCTGTTGGTTTGCTTCGATTAAGAATCGTCGTCGTCTTCCTATGATCTCGTATTATAAATTAGGTTGTCAGAATTTGTTTTGTTAGATATGTGAGAGTAATGGTTTTTCTTCCAATTTCTCACAGTCAATTTGGAATTGGCCAAAGGGAAAAGAAAAGGTTCTTAGAGTATGTAGCTGCTGCCAGCTGCTAAGAGTTAACTCTCGCTACCTAGTTAACTTTGTTATTCAAATTAACATTTTTAGACTGAAATTAAATAGTGATGTGACCTTGTGATTGTAGTCTCGAACCAAAAAAGTAAGTCAAAATTTGGAAGCCTTTCAACCCCAAGAATAAGGTTTTAAGCACAGCAAGATGGTAAGAGGTAGGAGTAAGTTCAAAGTATAATTAATTTCACACAATAAAGAGATGGTATATTGCCTTGCATTTATTTCAAATTGAAAAGAAGTTAATCAAGATTATCATGCAAATTTAAAATTAATCCTTCCAACAGCTCTTTATCATTTTATTTTCTCAAGAGTAAAAAAACAGTTATAAAAATCAAAACATACATGACTTTCCACAATAGCAAATGGTTAATAACTAATTAAGTTGAAAGATCTAGCTGCTTATCAAAAAAAAAAAAAAACCTGAAAGATCTAGTTTACAAGAAGAAAATCTTAAGCCCTGCACCTTTATCATTAATGCAGATTAATCTTAATTCTTAAATCCTAAAAGTTAAACCTGATGATACAAAAGAAGAAGAAGAAGGAACAATAAGATCTAATTTTAGTAAAAGATTAGGAGACATGCTATTCCTAGTTTTGCGTTGGCTTTAATTAGCCTTGTATGAACGTATCGGCTGTACAGAGGGTTAGGTGAGGTAGGTGTAAAATTCATGCAACTGGAATTATATACTCAACAAAAGCAGCAAAGGGGGAAATGAAAAAAATTAAATGGAGGAGTGATGAAAGAATGCTACTTGATGGAAAGTTTAATGTCGTTTTGGTGTAGAGAGTAAATGGCTGCAGGTTGCTGCTATCAATGTAAAGGTGTACGGATTTAAAGAATCTAGAGTTGGACGGGGATGATAGAGATAACCCACCATCATCCCATCCTTACAAAGCAGACACATGAATGTAGCATGGACAATAGTTAAAGTGGGCTTAACCCCCTCTTTTGTTTTTTTTTTTCTTCCCTGCATCCGACATGCAATAAGCAAGGCTTGACCAGACGATTCTTAATTAGTTTGAGTCTAATCCCATAATTAAACACTTGTAGCTTTTAATTGGCTAATCGGCATAAGTAAAAGAACAAACCAACGGGCAGCATTGAACATTCTAAAATTTTTAGTCCGAATTAATTGAATTAATGCGCATACATAATTAGTTTCAGTAGGTTAACGAAGCAAAGTTTATATATATATATATATATATATATATATATATATATATATATATAAATCCTTCATACTGTCTCTCTTCTTACCATGTCCATTATAAATTTGTCAAATTAAATTAAGATGAGATACATAATTAAATAGTCATTCCACGAAAACATAAATGGATAGTAGTTTTTTATTAATTTAACATAATGATTTTTAACTACATCTAGCATTTTGAATTTATTAAATTTAAAATTGACGTGATAGGTGAACCTATATAATAATTTTTCAAGATGATAATATTCAACTAATATTTTGAGAAAATAGATACTTCTATATATATATAAAACCAATATTTTATAGTCCAAAATTGATTTCTTTTAAAGAAATTTACAGTTATGGATTCAAATTTAGACTTATTCTGAGGTAAGTAAATGAACTGGAGAAGGCTCTATGCGTTCGTTTTTTTGGGGGTTGGGGGGAGAGTTAACGATAATAATTGAATTAAAACTATAATTTGATTTAAGCAGAGAAACTCGTGGGGCATATTTTGTCCAAACTGAAATGCTGACGTGGCAAAGTCTCATTGAAAAACTAATGAATTATAAATGTACGAAACTCCGGCAAAGGGAAAGCGAAGCAGCTATTTATAAGTCGATACGTCGATGATAGAGACGGCCAAGGAAAACGTAAGTGTCTGCTTGGAAAACCAACAACCATGGGAAGGACCTTAGGCTTCAAAAGACTGCGTGCTTCCAAAACCCAACAAGTACAAAAATTATTCCCCCGTCTCCTTCTTTTCTCCTTTTCTCTTCTGCCCCTTCATTTTCATATATCTTTTATGCAGTTCCATCCATTTCTTGGTTATATTTATGATCAATCTGTTTTTGGTCGTTCCAGAAGAGTAGTTTTGCAGTGGTGCCGCCATGGGTAATTGTTATGTATAACACCATATTCTTTAGAAATTGCGTCAGCCATCCGAACGAAAAGAAGAATGAGTTAGACCGATTTTGCATCGACTGTCTTCAGTCTTTTTGTTCTCATTGCCTCTCTGCTCACGCTATTCACAAGCACGTTAAGGTCTCTTCTTTTCCTTCATCTTTGTTCAGTTTAATTAACTAGTTGAAAAAACAAACTACTTAAGAAGTAGATTTTCCACTAATTAACCTTTCATTATATATGGTATTGAAGATTCGAAGATACATATACAGCGATGTCATCAATCGACAAGACTTGTGCAAGCTCTTCAATTGTTCTGGAATCCAGGTCAGATTCCTACGGTCTAATTTTTTTTTCTATTTTAATTAATCAATCATTTTTATGTTAATTAATTGTCTTTTTGTACATACAAATGTTGAATTTTTTTTTTCTATCAAGTCTGGTTATCCTATGTTAGGATAACAAATATGATCCAAACAGACCTTGCAGACAAGAACTCACATTCTGTCGACTTAAACAAGTCTAAACACACTAGATTTAAAATTTAGATCATATCATTACATAATAAAACACCTCACAATGAACCAACTATTAGTCATTATCAGACAAATGTTGAATTTGTTTTCTTCTTTTTTAAAAGAGAAATGTAAAAAGTGTGTTTAGATATAAAAATAATATTAATAATTTTGTATTATTAAGAAATAAATTTTATCTATTTAAATAAAAAAATGTAAGATTATTATGTGTTAAAGTTAATTTCATTATTTCGTCAAATACAATTTGTGCTTTTATGTTACTTTTGCTTCTTCATTTTTTTAAGTACAAATTTACGTTTGCTTTCTCTAATAACTTTTGATTAATCGAAACGAAAATAACGAAAAGAGTAATTAAGTAGTAAAAATGAAAACCATACATGAATCTTAATAAATGTTAATCATTATTCTTTTAATCGATATGTAGTTATTTAAAGTTAGGGACCATTTTTAATACGCAATAACCAGAATCCAGAGATTTCAAACTTATTTCGTAAACAATTAGGCTGAGAAAATTTAATGATACACCTACCGCCCGAATACATTGTGAGGCAATAGATGCAGGACAATATTCTCTTGTAGCTTGAAATTAAATTACTATCAAAGCATGCAATAAATGATTGTGGCACACGTCTGACGTCTGCAACGCAGCTTTGGATGCATGGTATATGTCTACCAATCAAAGTTGTGCCTTGGTCTTGTAAGTAAGCTACTTGTATATATATATTTCAAGTTTTTCTTTCGACCATTAATGAAAAACATCATCTACCCTAACCCTAAATTTGTGAATGACCCTTTCTTAAAATATATTTACCTGCATTTAGAACATTAAGTCATTGATTCCACTATATGGCATTATGGGTTAAGGTAAGCGAAGAGAACTGCTGATTCTATAATCTCGGGCAGAATTGCAGATCACATACACTGACTATATATAGAAATATTTACCGTTGGCAGAGTTATCATACGAATAAAGCCAAAGTGCTATTCTTGAAGCAAAGGACTCATCATCAGCAGCACCACCAACAGCAACAACAAAGCAATTCAAGGGATTACAGCTGTATCATTTGTGACAAAAATCTGCAAGATAACTCACTCTATTGCAGTATAGCATGCAAGGTAACTTTCTTCTCTTTTTGTCCTGCAGATTTTACATCGGTTTAGTTTTAGCATTAATATTTCTCGACAGGTTTTAGACATATACGACCAGGAACACAGAGAAGAAACCAGTAATAATCTTCACAGTAAACTCCTCCGCTGTCTCAAAGATGAAGGTGAAGCTTATGTTCGACTACCATCAACCAAGAAGCGAAGGATAAGGCAAACTAGAAAAGGCGTCCCTTTAAGGGCTCCGCTGTTCTGATTCGATAGTGAGTGATCAGGACGTCTAGCTCTACCGTATTATCATTTCCAAGTGTAATTATACAAGTTTCTTTCTAGATCTTGCATCTATTATATATATACCATAAGCTTTATAACTATATATTAATTAGAATTTGTTTCAATATCGAGTGCAATACATACGTTAACTATATATATAATAAGATCTTGTGATCATGGATTATTGTTTCTTATATAAAAAGAAATTATCCATGGTTTAATTGATACAAGCATTTACTTAATTGAATAACACTATCAATTTACATTTATCCAATACACACACGTGGGAATATTGCACTAAGAAGTTGCTTAATTTTACCCAAATGTACAAATCATACCATCAAAATTTTATTTAGTTTAATCAAGTTATGAATCTTCTACTTGCATGTAATCTTTTTTTTTTTTTTTATCTATATGCATATAACTGAAATCTAGAAACATTGATCATGGGACACTTATTAAGGATATTGGATATTACACTATGGTTGCTTCTTTAACATTTTAGGATTGCAAACACTTTTCTGAGTTCTGACCTTTAATAATTAGATATATAATTACACATTTTGTCTCTAGTTTATAGTCAAATTCTTGATTCGATATTTAAAATTTAAAAAATGTGATATTAGATACTCCAAATTTGTTTTTTCCATTAGTTTGCATTAAGACTAATACTATTAGTCAAATGAGTAATCTGTTCAAAACATGTAATAAAATTACGAAGTGTATCATGTTTGCATGGTAATTTAAAATAAAAGACATGTTTTTGTTAGCTATTTTTAAATACATTATTCGTTTGGCAAACATAATGCTTGGTTTTATGGTTCTAATTTATAAAAGCTTATTTCTTTCTTGAGACCAAGGCTTAACAATTTTATTGCAATCTAAGTTGCTTTAATTTAATATAATTTCTTAATTGTGAGTCAACCAGATCAAGATTGATTTAACCCGTTTTAATTATAATTGTGTTAATGCAAAAACTCGAGAAAAATCATTTAGTTTGACTGAGTCATTTGCTTATTTAAGCCAACATAAAAATCGGATCAATCCATAAACTAGTAATGGAGTCAGCTAATATGACTCTGGTTGATTCAATTTTAATAGCTATGCTTTGCAGATCCGCCTATGATTTGAGCTTCACAATTTTCCTTTGTTATGTTTTATTTATTTTTTTATTTAGAAGCTTCTTGAACTTTTAAGGTTATACAATACTAAGAAATACAAATACAATGATATCATTTGTGACAATCTTTTTACCTCGGACAAACATAACATTTTTCATATTCAATAGCATTAAGTAATCCATCTCCTAAAATGGATGAGCAATCCAATTTTTTTTTTGTTTATTGCTATATTCTTGTAGGTGCCATAAATGCTGCATGAAATTGACTATTAAATCCGATAGAATAATCAATCGGTTTGTTTAAAAAATAATCAACAATCGATTAAACCGATACTTCATAAATTAAAATATAATTGATTTGGTCGGTCTATTCTATTTTCATAATATTCTTCAATGCTACTAATGCTTTGTTACAACTCTTTCAAAATGTAGTCATTTTATTGGAGAAACAAGCCCCTTTAGTTATAAAGAAGCTGCTAGTCATTGAAAAATGACTGTAAACTGAATAACGTCATTGAATATTTGAATATTAATTAATAATATTGTATCTCAGGTGAGACATCGTTTTCATAAATTTGGTGTTTCAGAAGATTTATTCTCTAGCTTGGCAAAGAAGTAGAATTTTTATTATAATACAAGCTCAGTAATGACGGGTTATTGGGAAAGAGAGAGAGAGAGAGAGAGAGAGATTTAATAAATATAAAATAAAATATATTAATATTTTTAAGCTTTAACCATAATTTTACACGGATCTATTAGTTTTTAAATTTCACATTACTTTGATTATACAAAGTGTCTAAGCTAAATCACAAATTTTTAATAGTAAAAAGCATTTTTTTTCAAAGTTACAGAAGTTCATGTATCAATACATCACCGAATGTATCAATAAATTTTGTCCAATAGCTAAAATGAAAATTTTGCCATGAATGTATTGATACATGAGCACATGTATCAATACATTGTGGAATTTTAAGCCTCGGACAGCTCATTTTCTCTCATCTTGTGTGTCACCCTTCTTCAAATCCTTTCACCTTCCAAAATTTTTGAGTGATTTTCTATTAATTTGGCATTGATTGACACATTTTTGAAGGGTTTTTATCCATCCACATATAATCTTTTCTTCCCAAAACCCCTAATTTCGCTTGAAATCACAAATCCCTTTTTCAAAAACTTAGGATCGAACATTTTTAATTTGAAGACATTAATCAATTTTTAGTGAAAATTACATCGATTAAAGGTCTTCTTAGTCATCCTTCATCAATTCTATCAATTTTCTTTCCTCCAAAACCCTTCCAAAATCAAAGACTCCAATGGCTTCCCGATCTAAACACACTAAGCACACTGGTAGTTGTTCTTAAAAGTTGGACCAAGGCAATGCCACCACCTCCCAATCACCACCATCAGCACATAATGGCTTGTTTAAGTGGAACTTATTTCACCCTTCCTTGGAGTGCAAGTTCGATAAAGACTATGCTAAACAAGATGTCAAGCCAAGTAGGGTAATTGACTTTAACTATCTCAAGCACATTAATTTTTCGTATATTGATAACTTTTGAGAACTAAGGTGGTTTACTTACCTATCCATGAAACGTACCTATTATGCTAACTTAGTTAAGGTGTTTTATTCCAATGCCAACACTGAGTTTTAGAACTATGAGGATAACAAACCTATAGAGCATAATGATAGGTTTGTTACTTACATAATGAGAAAGAAAATTGTAGTAGCCAAACACACCATAGATTCTATCCTCGACTTTGATGTTCGTCAAAGTGATAAAGACTATGTTGAAGGGATCTTTTTTAATGAAATCTTATCCACTGTTTATACATAATTATCCCCCCTATCAGTAAGAAGAATACCATTGATGTCAACGTTTGTCCTTTTACAATCTTATTCTTCACCTTATTGTATCTCATATTATTCCCTCTCATGGCACAAATTATTTCATTGTCAAGAGTGAGGATTTCTGGTTCTTTTACCATATCAAATGTAACTAGCATGTCAACCTAGCCAAATTCATCATTGATGACATGCTAAAAATCATTAACAAGTCTAGGAAAACATTGCTTTATGGCATGGCTATTTGTGCCATCATTGACTTCATGGGCATCATCACTAGGTGTGACCAACCTAAACAACACGCTATGCACACGAAGATCAATGAACATGCCATAAACAAGCTAGGTTTTGTGCTAGTCAACAATACTTAGGTACTTTAAGAGGTCGTAAATGAACCTGAAATCATTGGGGATGAGGGAAATGAAGACACCTACACTAAATCTAGTGTAGCCCTCAGTGCCAGTCCTAGTGTAAACCCAAGTGTTACCCTTAGTTTTCCTCCTCTACCCATTGTTTTTTATTTCGAGCAAGCCTTTGCTCGATTGTTATCATATATGGAATCTGGATGCTCGAGTGGTTAGTAGGTTGGATGCTTTGGAGGCCCAAAATTGAGAACTTTTGCATTGCCAGCAACTTCTTGAGGAGCAATTCCGAGCTCACTTTCTACCACCATCTTAAGTTCTTCACAAGGGACATTGTCTTCTTTCGACATTTCCTACCTTTTTGGATTGGATGACCACCTTCGTCTCTCATTTGCATTTTGCTTCTGCATTGGTAGTGTTGTCACCTTAAACTTTTATGATACATTCTACATTATCTTGGATGGTCATTGTCACTGATTTTGGGTTATCTCATATTTTGCTGAAACATTCTGCTCTTGGACACCTTATTTATTTTAATAATCATATTTTTCTTATTATTGTCTGCATTATTTTCTAGATTGTAGTTTTAGCATTTTTTTAACATTATCCTACCATCTTTTTTCTTCTTGGTACTTTCACTTTCACATCCGACCTCCTTTTTCGTTTTACACATCCATTTTTTATATAATAAAAAAGGGGAAAACAAGGTTAACAAGCAAATTTTACATTACACTTTTGTCAAAAAGGCCAAATCATTTTCAAAATTAAATTTCTTAAAAATGTCTTAAAAATGTCTTAAAAATGAGGGGAGCATCTATTAAGGGGGAGGATTCAAAATTTCATACAACTTTCAGATCTTAAAAGTCAATAAAGTTTGCTTCCAAAAGTTTGAACAAAATTTTGCTCATTATTTTGTCATATTAAAAAAAAAGAGATTGTTAGCTCCATAAATTTCAAATTAATCTCATGTTTTGAAATAATAAACGAAAATGATCAAAATTTCATTGAAATCTTCTAATATCAAGTTTAGACATCCCCTAACACTTTCAAATGAGTTTGAGAATAGAAACAGTGCAAAGGGACTTTGAAAAATGCATTATAGTCTAAATCTATCAATACATGTTATTCATGAGTCGATACATTTGAACAAGTATCAATAGGAATTGAAATCTATTAATACATTCTCAAATGAATCAATAGAAATGTAATAGAATGCTTACTACCTCAAAAGTATCGATAAATTAATAAATGTATCAATACATTTCCAATAGAATCTCCAAGCCCTTGTAGCTAAGTTTAAAAGTATCGATGCATACCAGAATGTATTGATACATTATAGTGGGAATTCAAAAATAAAAGAGGTAATGTATCGATACATTTACATATATATCGATACAATATGACTATTGGAGCCTAGAATGAAGGGAAAATGGCTATTTCACATTTAATGCACTCCCAACTACCGTTCAAGTTTTAGTAAATATAAATAAAAGCTTTCATAGCATTTATGAAGGTTGGAAGACTTTGAAACACAACTTTAAAAGAAGAATTCATCTTAAATCATTCATTACTCTTTGAACTTCTCTTCTTGCATTTAAGTCTTTTATTGTACCATTTAGAGAGCCTTTATTGTTTATCTTCTTTCTCACCAAATATGGCACTTAACTTGCTATTTAGCCTTTAAGAGGCATCCTAGCTGCACTTTGATTTTTTATTGTATTCACTTGAGTGGTTATACCTTAATCTATGAAAAAGGTAGAAATTAAATGGTTATACCTTAATCAAGATAAAAGGTAGGATGATTGTGCTTTAATTATAAAAAGGCATTATATTGAAATGTTGTGTTTGATCCACAAAAAGTATTGCATTGAACTCTATTTTAATATTAGATTTTAAACTCCTTAGTGAATCTAAGGGAGAGGATGTGGGTAGGAAAGTTGAACCTCTATAAAAATTGTTATGTTAATCCTTCTTCCTTCCTTACTCTTTCAATTTCATTTATATTTCCAACTTCACTTATTTTCAAGAATCAAATTGTCTTGCTCATTTTTAAATTGGAAATTTGACTTAAGAAAACCTTATTTTCTCAAAATTGAAAAAGGATTTTCAAAATTTCAAAAACATTCCAATTCATCCCCTCTTGGAATTATTCGTATTGAGCTTATTGTATGAACAATTGACATGGTGGGCAAAACAAAATGGCTCGAGGAGAATGGTACGGTCGATGAAATGATAAGATGCCTAGATGTAGGCCTAAATAAAAAGAAAAAGGGAAAAAAAAGAATGATGCAGTGTGGAAATGTCTAAAAGAAGATAATATAAAGTTTAATGTGGATGGTGTAGTCCAAGGAAATCCAAGACAAGCAACCATAGGAAAAGTCTTCAATGACAATATCGAGATTGTAAAATTCATGTTCTTCGGGTCCATAAGGGTGAGTAATCCAAATATAGTGGAGTTGTTAGGCATAAAGGAAGCTATCAAAATTTTTGGAATCTCTAAATGGAAAAGAACTCATATCCTAAAAATAGATAGTGATTCTGCAAATACAGTAAACTAGGTATTAAAACCGAAAAGTGCACCATGGAAGTTGAGGCGAATAATGTTGTTAATTGAAAAAGAGAAAAGGAAAATAGGCAACTAAAAAATTAGACAAATTAGGTCAAAAAATGGGTTAGCAGATGAATTGTCAAAAATAAGAAAAAACAAGGTAGAAGACTTGCTGATAGTACTAGCTTAGAGAAAGGTGAGTAAAGAAAAGAAAGTAAAAGGTTGCAAGTCAAGGCTGATTAAATTACTTGTGAATAGTGTCGATATGTGCTTTTTTTTCTAAGTGTTTATGGATTGATTGGATTGTTGTTGTACAGGGGTGTATATGATTTTTCTCTGACTTTAGCATTAAGGTATTTGCCTTTATATTGTAGTATAGGTTTTCAATGGGTTGCATGATCAAACAAAACATCCAAAGGTAAATAAGTAATTTTGGAAAAAAGAAAGAAAAAAAAAGGAAAAAAGAAAAAAAAAGAGAAAAAAAGATTTTGTGATCTAGTAAGAGTTTTGTTTGGATTTAAAAAAAGGGTATAAGGATCAAATTAAAGAATGAGTGAGGTAAATAAGGAGGAAAAGGGAGATAAGGATATGAGTGATCAATATGTTTTTTTTATGATAAATTCCCTAGTTTAAGGATATGGAATTGCACATGGGATATAAATGTAAAGTGATTGGAAAAGACTTTTAAAAGAAGTGGCAAATAAATAAACTCTTTGAGAAATTTTTTAGGAAAAAGTTAAGGGTGATCGGAATTTGGGTGAAAGTCGATCAAAGGGGGGATTGTAAGAGGAGAGAGAAAAAAAAGATGAATCAAATAGTGAGAGAGTAATGTAGAATAATGGTAAGGGTAATTGAAATAATTAAGAGATAGGAATAGGTAACCAAAGAGTGTAGAATGGTTTATTAAGATTTAATTTTGAAAAAAAAAAGGAAAGAGAAAAAAGTAAGGAGGAAATTAAAAAAAAGAAAAAAAAAGAAAAGAAACAAGAAAATTGAATGGTCGCAATTTCAATGTTTCAGTTTATTTTTGAATTTTGTAGGGGAATGTTATTTGGAGGGGGGGGGGAAGAGGGAGGGTTTGACTCAATTTGAATTTTGGGTAAAAAAATTGATAGTTAAGGCGAGTTGAAGAGGTTGGAGAAAGAAGGGGAGGGTAGCCAAAATCTGAAATGGAAAGTAAGCTCACAATGGAGAGGGGTTAAAAGGTGATTGATTCTAAGTTGAAAGTTTTTGGGTCTTTTAGTGTGAGGTCAGTTTTATGGGAGTGATTGAGTAAAAGAGTCTGTTTGGAATTTTTTACAATGAGGGGGGGGGGGGGGTGGTGGTGTGAAAGGCAAGGACTAGAGGTGGAGGTGGAGTGGTGGTTAGAAAAGGTAAGGGTATGGAGATTTCTTTTTAGATCCACATTGAAACTTAGAGGAGGATGTGGATATGGAATGATTTTGGTTCCTTAATTTAGTGAAATTGTGGCTTCCATGTTTATTCTTAGCTAGTTCTTCTAATCATCATCTATGAGTCTAAAAGTTGTGAGGCTTGTAGGATTTTGTGATGACGGAGATAATTTTCAAATGATACGCTTAGGCATTGCGATGCAAATTTGTTTTTGGGTATGGCTAAGAAAAAGTTACGAGATTTCTACCTAGTGTTTTTTTGAACAAACAAGTTTCCATGGTAAGTTGTTTCCACTATTTGGAGGCATGATTAAGGAAAGGCTCATTACGCGAATCTTTTTGGGAGGACACGATAGAGAAAGGACATCAGAAATCATTGGGATGATGGACACATCTTTTGGATAGCTTGACAAGTTATGCATGATTTAGGTACTTATTACTTTTAATTTGTTTGAACCCAGATGAACCTTCTGCTTTTGGTTCAGTATGTGAGTTGTAAGGCTGAGCAATGTTGATGCTACTGGTTGAGCTATGGGTACTAAAATTTTTTTGATGAATGATGGCCCTTGAGTTTTTTCACTAATGAGCGGATCCTTTTTGAGATCTTTACGTCCTAAGTGGAGTCCTTATAGCAAGTTCCTATTGATTTGAATGAGCCTTGTGCCTATTTTTTATGGCGTTGCTTATTTTAGTAAGTTAATCACTAGTAGGATCTCATTTGTTATGCTTAGAAAAGTTTTCATCAAACTGATTGATGAGACTTTAGGTTCATACCTTGAGATTTAATGAGAGGTCTTCTTGACAAGTTTTCACTATATAGGTAATTCTCTTGTAAGAGCCACCACTTCCTTTTGGTATGGTTGAATGTTGGCAATTGTACAAGTTTATGCTCAAGCCAATCCTTTTATGTCATTAAAACTCTTAAGATAATTGATTAAAGACTACGTATGGCATGTTGGCTTTGAAGGCGTAATATCTAAAAAGCCTTTAAACTATTCAAGAAAATTTATAAGCCCTTAAACTTTTATTGCTATCAATCAAACTATTATATTTTTATTTTGAGTTAAATAAACCATTGTACTTTTATTTTGAGTCAAATAACTTATGACTAATGATTGATTTAGTCAAAATGTGATTTGTCATTCTATGTCACGTGTGCTGACGTGGTACGCTAACATATTATAGTTGATGATATGATATACTGACATATCATAATTGATGATCATATGACATGCTAATTTGGTATGATAACATGACTATGTATTATTCGTCTTCTATATCAATGTCATGTCAGTGCCATGTAAATATAAAATGATAAGTGATAATTTAACTAATAATAATTAGTGAATCATTAATCATAAAAGCTTATTTAATCAAAATAAAAATATAGAGGCTTGCTTGAATGCAATAAAAGAATAATGACTTATTTAAATTTTCTTTAATAGTTTAGGGACTTATTTGAATATTATGTGAAAAAATTATAATTAAGTTTAGAAAAAATTTATTATTAATAAATTACAAAATTTATCATATAAATATCCAAGTTATATATAAAAGTTACAAAATTTTTAAGGTCTAAATTCATAAGTTCCCCCATTTTTCATGAGAAAAAAAAAAAAGCTTATACAATCAAGTATTTCAAAAGTGAAAAAGAGCAAGGCCCTTGAAGCCCCTCTGGCTTCACCCTTGAGTAGGGATGGCGATGGATACCTTGTTACAAGGTATCCGCGGATATTCAATCCGGTTATATGGGGTTATGGTACCTTGTAATTGAGTTTAGGATAGATTCAGGTATTGATTTTTCTATTCGTACAGGTTCGAGTATTACCCCTGGGGTACTCGACACTTGATTATGTTGATATATGATTATTTATAATTTAATAATATTAATATAATTAATATGTAAACCCTAACCCCTTTTTTTTTTTTTTTTCATAGTCATTCCTGGTTTTGGACCTTCTAGTTAGTGCTCATTGCTGAACTCTGCTTTTGCCGCTCTTTCTTCTTGTCTTTCTTTTCTTAGTTGTTCTTGGCTCGGGTCAATGCTCAAATTGCTATTCAAGTGCTTAATGCTCAGCGTTAGCCACCTATCCTCCATTCTTGATAAATGAGTTTGATAATTATGAGTATGTATTAAAGTTTGAGTTAGAGTAATAATTTTTAAAAATATTCATGTAATTATAAAATTCAGATATCTTATTTATTAATAAAGTTTGGATTCAGCTACTTTAAAATTAACAAACACCTTATCTGTCCAACACCCTACCCTGAAGTCCTTGACCACCATATTTGACATGCAAAATATGAATATAATATATAATTATTACAAAAATAAAAATGTTTTCTCACTTAAAAAATTATAGAAATAATGTATACCATCATGTATTCCAAATGAAGATTTGAAAAAAGAAGCAAAGAAAGTAAAGAATATAAAACGATAATGATTTATATTAATACATGAAATTAATGGCTAAATTTTCTATCAGTACTCAAATGTTTGTTTTTTTTTTTTTCGAGATATAAAAAATTGATATGATTAAATGTAAAGATGCAAAGAAAAGAGTCATAGAGTGTATGCAGCCGATAATTTCCCTCTTTCTCCTCCTCTTTATCCTCCCTTCATACATCAACAAAGTGGACCATTGAGAGCTGTGAACAGTAGTTGTTGGACTCTGAAGTCTTTCTCACAATTCCTCTCTCTAGAACTTTCTCTTCTTTTAATTTTTCTCCTTAATTTGTTGTTTACTGGGTTGTCTGTTTTGAATCAGAGAAAACCCTAACCGTCTTTTTTTTCCTTTGAATTGAAACGATCAAAAGAAGTAATGGGTTCAGAAGGATCAAGGGTTGTTGGTAAGTTTTCGATTTTCAAAACCCAAGATTTCTCTCATTTGTTTCTCGAATTTCCCTTTTTTTAGTTAGCAGTGAAATTTTTTATTGTTTCGTTGTTGGTGGAGCTGGGTATTTTGCTTCTGCTTTTTTTTTTTCTCGTGATTGGTTGGATTTGGTAGAAAGTTAGAGTTATAGCTTTGATATTTGGTGTTCTTTGTTTATTTTAAAGTTCCTGTTTTCAAATGCCTGAGAATGGAATTTGTTGTATATGGATTGATATTCAAGGTGAATATTTTGGAGGCGTTGGTAGTGAGAATTTTTATAAGATTTTCATTGTTTTTATGGGTTTTATTGCAGGGTTAGATGGGGCTTAAATAGTAGAAATGTGAATGGTTATGAGTTTGTAGCCTTTTGTCCGGAAAGAATTAGATATTGTAGGAATAAATTGAAGGAAATTGGAATGAGCAAAGTCAGTGTCTCAATTTTTTAAGCTTTTTGTTAGTTCTGTTGGTCTTTGATTTGGAATTTATATAATCTTGCTTGAATGTGGATTAGAATAGTTTTGTTCTTTGTTAATTCCCATTTTCGTTTTTGATTTCCTATTCTGAAGTAGTCTTCTGAGGTTAAGTTATTTATACTTCTAGCTGTACAAGAGCCATTCCAATCTGTTGTAACTAACTAGATCTTGCAACATTTGTTGATTGCACATTGTTTCAAATAATGAATTTTGATTTTAATTCAGTGCATGTTAAATGAAGAAACAATAACCTTTAACAAGGTATCATCACTTTCTTTTGTATGCCCACAGCTTGTAGCATATGACAGCTATATATAATGCATGAAATTTTTCTGAAGTTGACATTTTGACTGTGATACATTGACTATGCTAGCTCCCAAGTTACTTTTCTTTTAATTGTTTCATGTGTTGAGATGATTGATCCACTTCCAAGGAAATTGTTTGAGATTAACTTACAATACTCTTGTTATTGGATGCAATATGTGACAAATTTCCTTGACGTGGTGCTAGCCCTCTTAACTGAGTAGTACCTTTCCATCATTCAAAGGAGAGGTCTGGAATTCAGCTTGTAAAAGAATGGTGGTGATTTTGGTTAAAGCTGAATGAAGATTGTGATCTGTAGGATTGGCCATGATATCCTCTGTTGGCCCTGAAAAATGGTTGATCGTTTTAGAATCATCACATGAATGTTCATGTCATGACTGCTGAGCTTCAGAGGCTTGAAGAACCTATCTTGGTGAGCTTGTGATGGATAATTGAGACAAAAAGACAACACAAAATAAATAAAAAAAAAGGCAGATCTCCTTGATGCAACTTTTCCTGATCTATGATTTCCTTATGTGTGGTTTGTGTTGATGAAGGGTGGTTGTAGATTTCAGGAGTGGTTGTTAACTCCCCCTTAATTGGTAGATGATATCTTGGTACAATGGATGAACAAAAGAAATGAGCAGATATCAGGATGCTAATCAGACAAGCCAAGCAGTTTGGTTGGCTAAGTTTATGGTGTATGAGCAAAAGAAAATGAGCGCATGAGGTAGTTCCAATCAAACAAGCCAAGCTCCTTCCATTAGGCTCCAACACGGTAACAGTGGGTTTCATAGAGAGCAGTTGTGATAATTGAGATTGGTCAAAGTTGTCAGGTTAGTATTAGGATAGATGACTGTTTTGAGATCTGGGAATCCTGTAAATTTCTTGCTTGGCTCAGCTTTTGATGTCTTAAGACCCAAGATTTACATGCAAGCATGTATGCAGATTCAAAAAGAAGGTAAGTAGAAAGCATTATGATTTTGGTCATCATGTGGGAAATATTGTTAAGCTTCACCAGATGAATTGATTTTTCTGTGATTTTGGTGAGTGCAATGCTTGATGAAAATGACTGTTGAAAGATGTTGAATGTAACATTAGAGCTGCTGGAGCTTAGTGAATATATATGAGTTGTTTGTTTAAGCTTTCCTTGGACTTGGAAGACTAGGTCTAGTCGGTGAAATCAAGGAGACTTCCTTGGCTACTTTTTGCTTCTATGGCTCTTAAATCAAGTCTTTCTTTTAAGCTCAACCATCTCATGGCATACCTTTGGATATTGAGGATCAACGGTTTTGGCATGAACTTTTCTTGGCATTGATCTGCAAAGGCTTTGGGTACTATCTCCATCGAGAAACCCACTTGAGAGTTGTGTGGATTATTCCTTCAACTGCAGACTTCATGGTAGAACAGTTTGTCGCTGATTGAGAAATGAGATTGGCACATGGTTCTCTAAATATTGGAGCCAAATGTATCTATTAATGGAAGTTAGTAGTTTTGTTTCTGTATGTGGTTTGTTGTGCTCATTTATAATTAGGATTAAAATTTGTTAATGATGAACTTAATGAGTGGAACTTGTGGAAAATGCTATTTTTATACTATCATGGTCATTTCAGTTATTTCTGGGTTTTGCTTTGTCTAATTTCCATTATTTGACAGAATGTGCAAACATTTCTATTTACTCTTAAATTCTGGCTTTTGCTCTTGACCAAAGTTTTGTTTTTTATATTTTGTGAACTATGTTTAACAAAGATGCACTTAATGCAAATTCCTTGACTGAAGTTGTTATAATCCTGACCTTGGGACAAAAACTTTGTGGTCTTTGCAGTGCCCAGGAATTTCAGATTGCTAGAAGAGCTTGAGAGAGGTGAAAAGGGAATTGGAGATGGAACAGTCAGCTATGGAATGGATGATGCTGATGATATATTCATGCAATCATGGACTGGGACTGTAATTGGTCCCCCAAATGTGAGCCTCTCTCTCTCTCTCTCTCTCTCTGTTGTGCTCTTTTCAGTAGTTGGTGCCTATTTGTCTCTGAATGGTGTGCATAAATACACTGATGGGTCTAAACCGAACTTCAAAGTTGACATCTAGATTTAACTAAGCTCATTTTCAAAAGTTAGTAGTAATCATTGACACAGTCCACATGATTGACTAATTATTAATGACAACTGGAACAATCCTTTTTTTAATTTTTCTGTTGGATATGGGTAGCATGAAAAAGGTTATGGTTGAAGTAAATTAGGCTGTAGCTAGGATAGAAAGAATGCACTTTATGCTTACAACCAAGACAGTTGTGGTGGGAATTGAAGATATATTATTCTTTTGGCCTTAGGATGCAGTTACTGACACATTTCAACTTTAACTAAGGTGGAAACTGTAGCTTATTTAAATGTGCCAGAAGAGAGTAGTACTTTTAACATTTAAGATCTTAAAAAAGCAAGAAATGTCTCAGTACTTCTTTGTAAGTGGCCTAATGAGTTTCGACTGTCCAAACTCAATGATTATCACATTTAATCACAAAACTTACCTACTTTCTTTTAAGTAATCTTCTCATGAATATGCCTATTACCTGCAAATCAATTGAGCCTCCTTAGAATTGTGTCACCTAGAAGTATAAGATACAAGCTTGGTGATCATTATCCTTCTTGCAACTCACTTTTGCTACAGCTTTTACATTCATTACATGTCAATTATTTTCTCAGCTTATGAACAAAGTAATATACTGTTTCTATTTAGCAGTGTCAAAGCTTTTAACTAAAGTTAAAAGGCTCTGTCTCATTATTCACTTTGAGAATGTCTAACTCTGTCCTTGGTAATTGACCACCAATTACTACTTGGGGAAGCAGGGGGTGCATATGAATTTAATTCATGAATGGAAACCCAAACATGTCATCATTATTATCCCCTTTCTTTCTGCAGTCTAAATGCATGATAATGTTACCTGCTTATTCATAAAACTGTTCCAATAGTTAGTAGTTTCAATTCTTTTATGGCTCATTTGGTGCATAGGATGAGGATTAGATAGAATTGACTTTTTGTTCAATGCTATAGTTCATTAGGTTTTTATAGAAGGATAGGATACTTTGATTAGTTATCCTACATTACACAATCTTATGGAGAGGAAAAGAATTGGATCATCATACATGGATAAGATTACATAAAACATAATGAGAGCATAATGGTTATTAATGCACTGAGAAGTAAGATGATATAAAGACAATTTACTCGTTATCTTGTTACCTGCTCCATCCATAATTGTATACACCAAATGCAACTTTGATGAAGTTTCATGCCTATGTGTTTGAATTAAGATCCTACATTACACAACCTTATGGGGAGGAAAAGAATTGGATCATCCTACACGGATAAGACTACATAAAACATAATGAGAGCAGAATGGTTACTGATGCACTGAAGTAAGATGATATAAAGACAGTTTGCTCATTATCTTTTTACTTTTTCCATCCTTAATTGTATACACCAAATGCAACTTTGATGAAGTTTCATGCCCATGTGTTTGAATTTCTCAGAGTATTTAAAAATAAATAAAAAATAAAGTTATTGAATCTATACTGGTGCGTGGGTCAGTGTTTGCAAATCGTTATTAGATATACCAATGTGACTCTTAGAATCACTGGTTGCACAATGTTAATTATATTGCTATTTAAATGACATATAATTATATTAATTAATTTCTAATTGTTGTAAAGAGACCTAATTGATTGATTTTTGATCTGGCTAGTGACCTGGTGAGCTGGCTGCCATGCAGGGTTGATCTCTGCTCCAGTGGGTTTAATAATTATGTATAAAAATAATATTACAATTTTGTACATTCTAGGTTATGGCTAAAAGTATGCCAGATTGCTGCAGTGAAAAAAAAAAAAAAGAAAAAGAATTTGGGTACATTAAGGACAAATATTGCTGCAAGATTTAAAAGTCTAAAATTGCACCAGCTCAGGTAGCCATAAACATGATTTAAAACACCTAGTACTCAAGGTAAGACAGCCAAGCAGCCCTAAAATTAGCCTGACAAGCCCATTTTTGTAAGACCAGCTCTTTTACAGCAGATGCTAGTCTGCCAATTGGTGCCAAATCTTCAGGGTTGCTTGTCACCTGGAGCACTACTACAAGTGCTGACTCTTGCATCACCTTCCTGTAGCTCAACGTTTAGCTTAAGCTTAAACTTGAAATACAAAGCACAAGTCGGAGGTTACAAGATTAGAAATTCCAGGATGAAACATGAATACAACCCCAAAAACATTGTGTCTGAATTTTCTTCACTTAAGTTAGTTTAGGACTTCTGGTTCAAGTAATTCTAGTATGAATTGCACTATACTTACCGTCATCTGCAAAATAGTAAGTAATAATAATATTTCCTCTTATATCTAATCATTTCTTAAAATGAAAAGGAGTTAATATCTTGCTTACTCTTGTTGCATGTCAGACCGTTCATGAAGGACGCATCTACCAGTTGAAATTGTTCTGTGGCAAAGATTATCCAGATAATCCACCAAGTGTGAGGTTTCAGACCCGGATAAATATGACCTGTGTCAATCAGGAAACTGGAGTGGTAAGTGATGTTGTTCTTGGGACCTTTTATGCTATGGTATGATACTTATAGCCGCTAAACTGCTAGGTTGAACCGAGCCTTTTCCCCATGCTTGCTAATTGGCAAAGGGAGTATACAATGGAGGATATATTGACTCAACTGAAGAAAGAAATGATGTCTCCACAGAACAGGAAGCTTGCCCAGCCTCCTGAAGGTCTGTTAGATCTTCTGATTTCTTGCCATATCCTTAATCTTTTTGTATCCAAGTCTGCTTCTTTAGCTTGTCATTTCTGAAGTTAGTGTAGTCCTTGAGGATAGTCGAATTTTAATGGAGAAATTGGTAGTCAGATGGAGTTATAGTTATTTGCGATATAGCTGAGTGAGTGCTATTTTTTTTGATAAATTGGTTAGGATGTAGATATAGATCTGCAGTGCTTAAATGTTCTCTCTTTGATACATGTTATAAAAAAGTTTAAACTGTGATGATGTTTTCCCCAGGAAATGAAGAGGCAAGGCTCGATCAAAAGGGTTTAGTGCTGAAATGTTGCATCCTCTGAAGTTTGTTGGAGTTGTATGAACATAATGTATATAGAATATATACACTAGATGATTCCAGCAACCGGCTTAGCTCCATCGATATATATGCTTGGGTATGAGAAATATGTCCTTGGTTCCACCAAATGGTGGTTAAATAAATTTGACCTTCTTAATGAATTGATGACATTCCAAAATTTATGAGTTGTGCTAATATTAATCTCAGTTAGCGGGTGTGTTGTTTTTCTTTCTTTCTCCCCCTAAATTGCCTCTTTTTCATTTTCATTTGATGTACTCTTGAATGTAACGGAGGACATGAGTATGGAACTGTGACCGGTTTGAGAAAATTGTTATATTCCATGTGCTTTCTCTTTGATCTTGGCCTGGCTTCCAGCAAGTAAAGCAATGCTGCCTTGTACTATCTGGATTTGCATACTGTTGGAACCGACTGGAACCGACAATGTATTCTTCTCCCCTAATAATTGCATTTCCATGTTCAATCAGAAGCTCGGACAGCTTCTGGTGAATGTTCATGCATTGTGAAGTGTCATCCAATTTATGCATTTACTATTTATCTTTGGTTTTTCTTACAAATCAATGAATAAATTAATTAATATATAATTTAGAGATATTGCAATTAATCTTCTAACTCGTAACATTATAACCATAATCATTTGATGGGGTTTTTTTTTTTTTTGGCTACCCATAACGAGGGACATCATGGCCTTGCTAACTTTGAGAGGCCTCAGTAAGGTGGAAAAGGCGAAGCACGTTTCAATCAAATTTCACAGGTTAAGCGTGTTGGCACAACTGGTTATGACCTAATTTAGGGGGAAAAAAGAAGAAGAAGATTATTATTACGAGCTGATTGAATAACGTGGGTAGGTAATATTTTAATGATAATAAATATTGTAGAATTGAAGAATCACGTGTTTAGTTTCTCATCCACCTTTTAACCCAGCCATATAATAATAATAATTATTTTGATACCTTTTATCAACCCTGAAGTATGCTTTTTATTAATCTTTAATTTTATTCTATTTTGGTCTTCATCATCCATGATTAGATGCTTTAATAACATTAACAATTGGCTAACTTTGTTTGACAGCCGTACAGCACTATGGGAAAAAAAAAGTAACAGTATAGTCAATGTGCTTTTTGCTAATGGGTGTCCCGAGCCAGCATCGATTAACTTTAATTGAGATAGTATTTTAAGATTTTTTATTTATTTTATTAATCTTATTATATTCAAGACGTGGCAATATATTAATTAAAATTAATAATATTACCTTAATTGATAATTATAGAAATTTGGTCATGTTTATCTTAAAGTAAAACAATAATTGGGGTCCAAATTATGATTGTTCTGACTCTGACCTTTCAATAGGCCGAGTCCACGTCAACGATTCTAATTTACTTAAAAACGGATACGTGAGACTGCCATCTCCTTTATATATATATATATATATATTCATGAATGATTCCTATAATCCCTTTAACTATTTGCTCCACCTGACTTCCAATTTCAATATTATTAGTTATGAGTCTGCTATTAAATTGGTTTACAAAACCAATCTTAAATTTATTCGATTATTATAAGTAACACATTAGAAAGTGTTGATATATAACTAGTTAGGATTAAAAAAAAAAGAAAAACAAATCAGTCAACTAGTAATACTACTTAATTGAGATTATCACTCTAATTATAAGAACCTTTAGCCCCTAATTAAATGGCGATGCAAATACCTGAATTATAACTCCTAATTTATAATTAAGGAAGGATGATAGCTGTGTAAATCCATAACAGGAATCTTGCATCGTTTTCCTTATTTAGGTTATATTAAGCATTGAAACTGTTTCCACACGAATTTGTTCTTTTTGTCCTTTAAAAAATGCATCATATTTTATTCTAAAATAACGAGTCTACTTAAGCACATTTCATGCTCTAACCGTGAATCTCGCGGTGTCTTTCTCCAGAGTTGAACGTTAATATAATAACATAACAATGAACCGAATATATTACTTTTCAAAGAAAAAAAATAAGAAATTTATATATATTATAAATTTCAATATTAAATGGTAATCCAACTGTTTCTCCTGTGGAATAAATTCCCGTTGTCAAAATGAGCATAAAGGTTGATTATGATAATTATAAAAGACTAGTTGTCCAAGATTCCTTGATCCACGTTACAGTGGCCGGCTCACAACTCAAAATTAAGTGGTGAATCAAATAAAATATTATGCAGAATCCAAACTTATAAGTGATGAATCTTTACGTAATTTTTTATTGTGATTAAGTAATCACAACTTACACTCAAAGAATTGTAGGTGAAATACTTTTTAAATTTACAAGTAAATTTTTTTAATAAAAATGAAAGAACTTCTGTGTACTTATCACAAATTGTATCAACAGAAGAAATTATCAAACGAATCAATTAATTACACAAATCAAAATAAAATTAAACGCACCTTACGTAGGGTTGGCTTTAACGTAAAGCCATCAAAACCCTTGTTTAGACCTTACAATTTTATAAGTCTCATAATTTTATATAATATAATTAATTATATTAAATATATATAAATTAATAATTAATAAAATATTTTTTAAATTAAATATTTATTAAATAATTATTTTCTCTCACTTCCTACCTTTTAATTCTCTAACTATGTATCTCACTTTTTTATTTATGTAAAAGTTAAAATAATCAATAAGATTACATTTTTTTACTTTTTTAATTATATGTAAAATAAATTTTTATTTATTATATTTTAATTTCTATAATGTTCATAATTTTAAATTATTTTTTCTATTTTCCATGAACATAATATGTTTTTAAAAAATTTCAATTAACAATAATTTTTTTAATTTTAATAAAAAAAACTCATTTAAATATTTAAACGTTTTATGTTTTTAAACATATTAAACCGCCATGACCCTACCTTACACTTTTTCCTTGTTTTGATTCCATAAATCTTTGAATGTTATCATCAGTGACGTAACTCCAATAAGATTCATGCTCCCAACACAGCGAATCACAGCAAAAGAAAAAATATATTATAATGCCCTTTACCAAAATGAATACCTTCCTTCCTCGTCGGAAAAGTTTCAAAGGAGTAATTCAATTCAAGAACCGCCCATTGACGTTGACATATCTAAGAGGGTTAAGCGTTGAGCTAAAATCTTTCTTTGCAAACTACAAAGTCAGATTTACACCAACATTAGGCAAACCCAGATTTTGTTCTAATAATGAATAGGTTTTTTTTATAATTTTTAGGTTTTAAATTCAAGTTTAATTATGTATGGATTAGTCTAAATTTAAATTTATTTGTCAATTTATTGTATTTTTTTTTGTTTGTTTTACTCTATGTATTAATACTTACATCATATTTGTTGAGAATCTTTTTGATCATGATTGTAATTAGTTATATGTATAATTAATTCAGAAAAGAAATGAAAAATAAAACGGTTTGGTTAAAATCCAGGAACCAATTTTATGAAAGCAACAATCACCGAATTCAAAATCCCAGCATTTGTCGGCATATATACACGAAACCATGCACACGTTTTGTGGTAAAAGGAATGGGGACAGTAAGGTCAAATGTTGCCGCAACATAACTGGAGAAACCCTATTCCTTGTCCTGCAGAAAAAGGAATCCAATTTTTTAAGTAATTATCAAAGTCGATTTTCCTTTTGAGTTAGACATGTACAAATGTCATCTCTGATCATGTTCACGACTTCTTTTTTTATATCACTTACCCGAAAGAGACTTGTTAGTTTATATTTTAATAATTTATAAATAATTAATAAAAAAGAAACACATGTAAACATTTACGTATTTAGTTAAATAATATGTATATTATTAGTGGAACCGGATTCAAATAAAAGATAATATCTATAAATTTTATAAATATATTATTTTTCTAATACGATGGAATAATCGATCAATCATTGATAATTTTTTATAATAATAATAACAGATTGATCGGATTCAAATCTTATATTTCAATTCTTTAATAAAAAATACCAACTGTTCATGGGCTTACGGCAAGTATAATTTATTTTTTTCTTTATGTTGTGAAATATAATTTGAAAGAATATCTATGAAAAAAAATATTAATAAAGTAAAAAAATCTTATTTAAGATTATATATTTATAAATAAAATAAGAGGTCTATTTGTAAGTTTATAATCCCTATCTATATAGAATTTATAAAATAAAAGATAATGTTAAGGAATTTGATTTGGATAGATTAAATTCAAATTTTAATCAAATCTACTCTACATCTAAATCTAGATACACATAATCAAATATAAGAATTCAAATCAAATTACACTCATATATCTGGTCTGTTAGGCTATTTGATTTGTCTCGGTTGCTTAGCTTCGTCTAAACTCTTGAACTGTGACACGATGGACATTTTCATATATATTCATAACATTTCTCCTTAAATGTCTATTACATTAAGAATATATCTTGTTAAAATCTTATTATGAAAAAACCTTACAAAAAAAAATTTGAGTGAAGGCAAAAGAGTATATAATATTTTTTAAGAATAGAATTTATAAGATAAAAGATAATGTTAAGGCATTTGATTTGGATAGATTAAATTTCGAAGTTTAATTTGATTTACTCTACATCCAAATCTAGATATACATAATCAAATATAAGAGTTTAAATCAAATTACACTCCTATATCTGGTCTGTTAGGCTATTTGGTTTGCCTCAGTTGCTTGACTTGGTCTAAACTCTTAGATCGTGACATAATGGACATTCATATATATATTCATAACATTCCTCTTTAAATGTCTATTATGTTAAGAATATATCTTATTAAAATCTTACTATGAAAAAACCTTATGAAGAAATAAATCTGAGTGAAGGAAAAAGAGTATATAATATTTTTTAAGAATATGTTTTTTATATATTAAGTCATTAAAAACCTTATCAAGAAAAACTTAATAGGAAAAACTTGATGAAGGAAAAAAGTACAATTCGTATTTTACTCCCTTTAATGTCTGTATTATTTTTTTTCAAATAGCAATAATGACTGTATTATTTAAAATCTTTAAAACGACACATTTTAATTTTTTTTACCAATTTTTTAAATATTGTAGTATGAAAGGCTTTTGTGAATAAATCTATTATATTGTCACTTGAATGAATTTGTTGAATACTAATATCATTTTTTTCTTAGAGATCATAAGTGAAGAAGAATTTTTAGTGAAATATGTTTTGTTCAATTGCCATTAATATATCATTCCTGTAATAGGATTATGTAAGCGAGATTATCTTCATATAACGTTGTTAGAATTTTCTTCTTAGTTGACAAGCTACATATTTCTCGAATATGTTGAATTATAGATCTCAACCAGACACAT